CAGTACTTCACGTTGTAAATCTCGTGGATAAATGCAGCACGTATTACCACCTTAATAGGAGAAGCCAGGGTAGTGACATGAGCAAGCTCATAATCGGGATGGCGAGATAGGGCATCTGCCAGCAATTTTGCTTTCTTGGCTGATACTTCACCTCGAAATCATATTTCGCAAAGATGAAATAACCAAAATGCCATTTTCTGAGAGATATGAGGCGACTTGTTCGCCGTGCGTGATGACACATGATCCATATATAGACAAAAAATGGGTTAAAGGCAAGTAAGTAAATCGAAATTTGACGCGTTCAAACTTTATTTCATGTAAAGCTTTGTCATGTACTTTATAATTCTTTCCATGGGCTTTGAGCCGACGATAATCAAATGCAACAACGCACTCGTGACCTGCAGAATCGTTTTGTAACAGAACGCTGCATATGGAGAAGCTAAATGCATTTTAGACAACACTGAAAGGGCACTCAGGATTTACCAACGACAAATGGAAGCATGGCAGAGACTTTCCTTTACTGGTAGAATGCGTTAGCACGGGTGTTGTCCCAGCGCCAACCTACGTCATTCTCATAGAGATCAGTTGTTGGCCGAGCCATATCAGCATAATTCTCACTGTGCTTGTGAAAGCAATTGGCGAGTTCAAGCCACTTGCGCAAGTCCTTTATATTCTTAGGAATCAATCAGTCCAATGTAGCTTTGACCTGATTAGGATCCGCTTAAACTCCACGCTTTACCAATGAATCATTCTACAAAAGGAATCGCTCTGCACCATAAATTCATTCAGACGCGTTGTCGTACAATGTATTACTGTGCATTCATTCAAGCACGGCTCGCAAATGGCTGATGTGATTTCTAACATTAGACCAACCTTGTTCAGCACGAATATGGATAAAATGTCATCGAAGAACGTCTGTACATAATCCTGATGTGGATAGAAAAGCTGCATTACCGAAGATAGAATGTTGCCGGCGCGTTAGACATCGCCTGGGGCACCACCAGCCATTTCCATAGCATACCACTCTTAGTGTCAAGGCTGTAAGCAGAATGTCACTCGCTCGCATGAAACAGTGGCAATGTTCAACGAAGAAGTCGAGTGCACTATACATAGAACAAATACCACTTTTTCAATACAGTCCTTCTAAGGAATAATTGTCTGTGCCGAATTAGCGGACGCATCAAGATCCTTACAAAAATTTAAAATATGCCTCTCACCGCTCGGATTTTTTACACATAATGTTATCGTTGAGTGCGGCGATATGCTCATAAGCACCATTCCGGCCTCGTGCTTGGCACAAAAGATGTCATTAATGACATCACATTCCTCCTTAGGCAAAGTCAACTGTCGTGTGACAAAGCATTCAGTCCCAGGAATAAAGTCAAATTTCATTCATGACAACTCTATCTGGATGTAGAACCGAGGGTCGGTCGGGGCACAACTCATTTTTAGATTCATTGACTTATGTATAAAAGAATCATGAGGGTCTCTAAGTGTTATGGACCCACTACGCACACTGAGTGCTGCTTTTGTTTCATCCAGAACGCCTTCTTCTAAAAGTGAAGAATAGTTCTACTTATTGATGTCGGGTCGAATGATCGCACCCTCTGAAGAGTCTTCATTATTTGAGGAGTGATCAAACCCATCGATAGACAACTTTTTGAGTTCATAAAGAGAACGTTAACATTTGTACAGTCTTAAGGCGAATTATACCATTGAAAACACAAGTCACTATGTTGACGAGTGTACACAGCTGATATTCATCATCACATTGTGACACAGCGCACGATGTGTCTTTCGTATCTCTCTGATCGATACCATCATCGATCGTAATTTGCTCTAAACTAGAGCTGACGCCAATATTGACATCCAATGACGAGCCATTGGACTTGACGTTATCATCACGTGCATTACGTGCCACTTTACGTGCACCCGCTGAGTCGGGCTCGGAATGCCTTGGAATTTCACCAACAAGTTCAATATTGACATTTAGCGCATCTCTATCACAGCCAACGCGATGCAGTGGGTACTTAAGTGCCACTCCACACGATCACCTGATGGGTTCAACCCTCGACGCCTTGACGCTTGGTCAGAAATGCTTTCAGCATTTAGTACGTGGCTCTCACGACGACTAGCACTAAGCAGAGTACGCGCCGCTTCACTATCACACATCGAGCTTTATTTTATACTCGTGTCTTTGACATCGTCAGAACCACCCAACTCTGTCATTCCGATATCCAGCACACTTAAAGTGTCAAATAGTGGCTCGCGCCAATTACGCTACTGATTCCTAGCAGAGGTGTTTTTATGACTCCTCAAAGCTCCGCTAGGGGTAGTGCGTTTGGCGCCTAATGTTTTCCACCTCCCGTTGTTCCGTGAATCTTGGCGCTTAAGCCAAGCCATATTAAGAATGAGATCATATCTCTAATTTAATCTAAGAACTAAACAGCGTACGGTGCTATCAAATTTAAAAACTTCACACTTAAGTTTACAGAAACTTCGGGTGCCGGACTAGAGATTCTGTTGCCAAGCGAACAGTGATCGTATCACACCCTTACGCATCTAGCGCCCCAACATAACGCGGATCCTTTCAAGGGAACAGACACTGACAGAATTAACGGATAATTCGGAGTGGATCAAAATCGACCGGAGTATGTCAAACCCCTTGACAGTTTACTTTGCGACCAGCAAGACTAGCTTGTATTCACACCCCGTGTCAGAGTGCATAGGACTCCTTAGTGCTATATTCTGCTCGACACTACCTCCAATAGGATCAACAGAACCGATTTCCTTCCCATCAGGACTCCTTGCGTCAACGGGAGACTACGTTTTCCGCACCGTACTTGACTTCTGGTTAGCAATGGAAATTCGGCCTGAAGAAGCCTAGCGTGCCAAACTGAAAGGACAATTAGATTTCTGATGCTTTGATCTTCCGCGCGTGAAACGTCATAAAATGTTCTAATGCTGCTCTTTTGATTCAAATTCTGCTTCATCGTCCGTCTTGGCGAGACCGAGGTTCCTAGGCTCCGGCCTATTGTATGTACGAAATGATTCGCTGATTTTAAGTTGTACCCGTGTTTGCCAAAACGGTCTGCCTTAAAGCTGAGATTAGCATTCAACGCGATATTCACATCCGCCTCGAAGGAGGTGGGGTGTATTCAGAATACTTCCGTTTGATCCATGCCTGTACGCAGGCTGTCCATAATGATGGAAATTAAGACCATTTCTGGTAAAGGATCAGGCTGCATGGCAGCGATTAAGTTCTTAGTTCCTCGACATATTTCGATACTTTTTCTTACCCTAATGGGCAGGAAAAAAGCGAGAACGCACTCGGTGTAGGTATAGGCGGAGCAAAACCTCGGAATATTTGCTGTTTTAGCATACCCATGGGGGAAGCTTCGTCTACCGACGTGCTCCACGTAAACGCCCATTCTCTGGATCGACCGCCTATTTTTTAGATAGTCTTCCCAGCTTACTGTTGCTCCTACTAGAGCATAACGAAGTTCATGGTCATTTCCACCTCTCTTATCCACAGGAGGAGATTGTTCACTGCATTTCTTCAAAAGTCAAGTCAAGGGGTGAGTCCTCGACTCTTCATCAGGTACAAATACAAACCGAGTAGGCATACCCGATGCCAACGGTCGTGTACCTGCCTAATCAAAGTGGGATCAAACTGCGTAAAAGCGTAACGATTTGCACGAATTATGTCAGGACCTTGTGCGACGATCCGATACACGTGTTCACTCCCGACTAGCGCTTTGATTTTCTCCTGGGCTAATCCATAAGCCTCAGAAAGGGTTATCTATGTTTCCATCTTTACAGCAGAATAGTCTTAAACATCTCAGGTAAAAATTGACTTCAACTGCTACCAATTGTAGCGGAGACATCCTAACTCCTTAGACAGAGGAGGATTTCTCAAACTCGAAGAAGTCTTTTAAATTATTAAACAATGCGGCTTTTAACTTAGGGGTCTCAAGGTTTCCAGACTTGGTGAGACTTGGCTCTAAGTGTATGTACAAGCTCTTGATCTTCGATTCCTGGTGCAGGGGACTACGAATCCAAGGAATCAGGTGGCACTAATGCACAAGAGTGCTTAGCCTTAACTCAGGCAATAAACTATTACGACCAGAGAAGTCGTAGAAAGACACGCGTCTGAAACTGATTAAAGCGGAATCAGAATGTATTTACTGATTTATCGCGATTGTAAACCTTACTTGAGTTTTCATTCTTTAAATGATGCTACCTGATCGAATAGTCCTCATCGAAGTCCTTCCTGTGTACCACACCCAAACTATGTCGCCTCTATGAAGACTCTATTACGATAGATTTTATATAACCTTAACCGATAGGGTAAGGTATTTTGTACTTGGCGTATTTGAATAAAAAATGGACGCCTAAATAGCGACACTGATCTCTTTCTGTTTGTAGCACACCAATGTACCTGACAATTACAATCGCTTTTGTAACCCCGTAACAGACATGCTCGTCAAACTAGTTTGTGGAAAACGACGATTGCGACGTAATAGTTAGTGTTGGAAGGTGGGTGTTGAAGTAGCGGACTGGGTTGTCGTTGTTACGAAACGGTACTGGATTCTACGATCAGCGCCTGACGTACTTCGCCTATGCATAGTAAAAGAAAGATGTTAGTAGGTACTGTTGACCCACAACCACCCGTTTTGGAGATGTTGGAACAGAGAGACCTAGGCGACAAAAGTGGCTAGACTAATAATAAACAGAATCTTATCTTCCTCTGAAAGCGCTCAACGTTTTTACTTTCTAGAGGTTATGAGCCCAAATGCTGTAACGACTGATACGAAGCCTACGGCGTCACCAACAGGTCACGCTATGGCCTCACCAGCCCGTGGGGCATCACCAGCACGCGTTTCTCGGTCAGCACGCGCTGCTGCAGTCGTTGAAGGGTCGCCAGCTTGCGAAAGGAGCTCGGCGAATGAAGACAAATTATTCGCAGCCCTGACGCTCTTACTGACTGCATGGCGAAGATGGAGACTTCGCAGCTCAAGCGGGCAGAAATCGGGAAGACGCTGGATGCTCTAGAAAGCAGAATGTTCGCATCGGCTTTCGGTGCGAACATGCGTGCACGGCCGATGACGATTGACGCATTAATGGACTCACCTGAGCATAATTTAGCTGCGCTTCCGTCGAGTTCGCGCGCGACCGATCTTAAAGAGTCGGTGTTTGTGTCACTCGCGCCGGACGTGGACAGGCGCCGCTGCATCAGCTCAGACAGGCGCCAACTCCGGCTGGTGCTGCAGCTGGACGCCCTTCGGCTCCAGCACACCCGATGCAAGCTCCAGTGACAGCAGGTTACTTTGCTGCACCTAAAGCTAATCAGAGGAAGCCTTCAATACGAAATTAAGATGGGTGTAAGCTCTACAAAGGACCTGGATCTATTTTTTTTTTGATCGGGGACGCACATTCTTGCGCGCCATCAACCTATCCTAGGCCCCGCATGGATTTATGCGGAGCGAGGACGTTAAGGTCGACCTGTTGGACATCATCTCTGTGGTACAGCTATGGAGATACTTCTACAAGCAGGTGGAAATGTGGTGGAACCAAAGAGCGAAGCTGGACTACGTCATGTGCCAGCTGCTTGCAATTTTTGAGACTACAATAACTGCGATTCAAGCCATGAAGCTATTCACGCAAAGAAAGGACTCTAAGCGCAAGCAGGATGAGCATTTTTTGTACATGGTCGTTGTGAGCGACGCGCACAAAGGCGCTGACTCGCTTATGCTGGACAACATCGTCCACCACGCGTCGCCGGACCTGAAGAACGTCATGCGCGCAAAAGATGACCCTACACGTGTTGCCTACCTGCGCCATGCCGAAGAGCTGGCACATTTTGCGCAGTCAATCGAGCTTGGTTATGTGGGCAATCGGATGTGAAATCTTCGCTGCACATGTGAAACCTAAGCGCAAAGACACATGGACCTGCTACGGCTGTGGCAAGGTTGGCCATGTGCAAGCTGACTGCAGGTCAAAAAAAGGTAGAGCAGCCAGACAACAACTGAAAATGGTGGTGTGGTTCTAGCGCTTACCGAGAAAAAGTCATGGGGGCGAAAGAACAAGGCCCGACTGAACAAGAAAAGCAGATCGGGATGGTATTCGCAGTCTGTGATGCAGGTGCCAGCGATACGAATTCATGGATTCTTGACAGCGGCTCAAGTCTCCACCTCGTAAATGATGAATTGATGTTCATTGATTTGGTCGCGTGCAACCAGGAAATCGCCATGGCTGATGGTAAATTACTTCACCTGACGCGAGTCGGCAGTGTGCGTCTTAAGGTGATAGCGCACGGTGTAGAACAAGACGTGACGCTATCGGACGCATTTTTAGCGCCGCGACTGTAAAAAAATACCATTTCGTATGAATTTCTTGAGAGGAAGAGGTTCACCCTTGTTTATGACGGAAAAAAGCGCGCGATTGCCATGCGCAGCGACAGCGCGATCGCATTTGATGTTACCAGGGATAGTAACGTGCTGTACGTCGTAAGAGTTTCGACTCGAAGTAATCGCAATGCTGAAAAAGTAATCGTGGCGGCACTTAAAGAAACGCGAACAATGATGTCGTGAAAAATTTACAAGAAGGTGTTTTCATGGAATTCTATTGGCGCTTTGGACATCTTTGCCCTCGATACTATTGAGCGAATGGCAAGATATCCAGTCTCTGGCAGTTGCCTGACGAGTAAAATGCGAATGGCATGCATTTCTTGCATTGAGGGCAAAGACTCGCTAAGATCAAGAGCAACAGGACAGCGGAATCAGTTCACCAATCGACTGAATCGGCGGTGTCATCTGCTTGGACCTGAAAGGACCGATGACGCCGCAGGACAGACATGGCAACCGGTACTTAATCAACTTTGTTGACCACAAGTCCAACTACTGTCGAACATTTCTCGCGCGCACAAAGGATGCAGCAGCCAAGCAGTTTAAAGCACTCTTGTTTTTTTTAAGAAAGCTGACTACCACATTCATGTGCTTCGCACAGATAATGGAGGTGAGTACAGCAACGTCGACTTTCTGCAAGAAAACTGGAGTGTCAAGGCAAGTGTCAAGGGCAGGAAACTAGGCATCAAACGGCGAAGCAGAACGCTTGCACAGGACAGTGCATAAATTGAATCGAAGTATGATGTTTGCCTCCGCGCTGCTACTGCATTTTTGGGGAATCGCGGTTCAGTACGCGGCTTACTTACTAAGTAGCAGCCCGACGGGAGTGAACACGAATCGGGCGTCTCCTCTAGAAGTGCTGACAGGAAAGGTACCGAGCCTGCGCGACATCGTCGTTTTTGGCTCTATCTGCAGCGTGTAGCGTGGCTGTATCAAAAAATTAGCTGAAACATCGTGCGCAGATCGGGGCAATAATCGGGATCAGCGAGGAATCAAAAGGCTAGAAGGTGTGGCTGCGCAAGGATAACAAGGTGATCATAATTTAACACGTCAAGAACATCAACACACTGTCAGAAAAGAAAAACAATCAACTCTGTCAACGTTTGTCTGATGAAGACAGAAACTTTCCAGAAGGTACCACAGCTTCAGGTGTGACCATCTTGTCGCAAGGTGCAAAGAAGGACGGGAAGTTTTTCGAGAAGAACAAAGTTCGTAGATGAGGTCTGCCTACGATACGCGCGGGGCATCAAAACATGCAGAGGCGACTGAGGCTCAGGAGGAGTCGAAGACAACTGATGGTGTTGTGAAAGCTGTTCTTATGCGGGAGCCCATCAATTTTAGCAAAGCGATGCTAAGTGAAAAGTGTGGTGGATGGATCAAGGCCAGGAAAAAGGAAATTGCGGCGCTCCAAAGTAACAACGTACGGCAAGTGTAACGGGGCACCCTGAAGCTTGTACTGGTGACAGTACAAGCTACTTATTCTGATGACAGAATAAGGCGGTGCCTCGTAACTTCGCGTACACTCGTACGTGCAGAGGAAGACGGTAAGAAGAAGCGAGTACTTGGTTAAAGTAAAAAGTAGAACTGTATTTATAATAGTTAATGTCTGCAATAAATCACTATTTATCTTCATCTAACTATGTCTAAATGCAAATGTGTAAATCAACTATCTGCTCACCACTCATTGCGTGCGTCTGTCGTGGCGCGTCTTCGTTGGTTGATATAATGGCCTATATCAACCACTTAGGAACTACTCGTAAGTGCTACAGAATATTGTCCTTATGACAATATTCTGAGAATATAACTCTTATAGTTATATTCAATTATCAATTTCTTATAAATTGTTATGTAACGATTCACCCCGTTACATCACCCCCCCTTAACCATCAGTCACTTTAGTGACTGATTGACTAAATGGATACTCGTCCCAAATCATTTGGGACAGGGTTTGCACTTGTTGGTCCGAGTCCACTTCCCAACATTTCATCGCATGGTTAACAAGCCCATGCGGTGCGCGAGCAAGGCCGCCGAGAGCGCGTCCGCACGTCTCTGTGCGGACGCCGAGGCAGAAACCACAGCAACTGATGTCTCATCGGTTGCTGAAGCGACCCAGCCTGTGTCACTTGGTGATGCAGGCGCCGGCCATGAAGACACTCATGTCTTCACAGAGTATGAGCTCGGTGTCTCATACTCTCCTGATACGGAAGACGGATCCGTATCGACGGCGATCGAATCCAAGCCGCCTGCCAAGCGTAGCATGGATGATGCTATGCGTCGCAGCATCTTTGGTTCACCTGATGAATCAGATGAACCATCGCCGAAGCGAAGGCGCTCGAGGTCGCGAGACTCTGGCGCTAATAGTGGTGTCGGTTCTCCTATCGACATTACTTCGCAACGAGGTGCCAGTACTTCTGTCGGCACATCGCAAGAAGAGCGGGACCGCAATGTCTTGCGTCTCGCTCCCGAGAAGAAGGCATGGATGCCTCCTAAATCAGTCATGGATCACTTGTCGGCGACGACGAGTGATCATTATCGAACACGGTTGTTCGATTCGTCAAGGATCCATCGCCTTGACCCCAGCGCGAAAAACTATCGCGCTGAGAATGATTTCTTCATCGATGCTTTCTTTAGACATCGATGGTACAGTGGGAATCACAAACGTGATGGTCCCTCACTGCTTCAGGCGTGGAACGCCTACATCCATAAGCTTGAGGATGTAGGTCGTGACGCTTGGAACGACAAACTTATCAAAGCTCGTGATAAGTTTGAAAAGCGAAACCCGACAGGTGCACGCTACAAGCTGCATCGTCTGTCAAGGGAGAAAGGATTACCCTGCCTCTATTGGGGAGACTCGTGCCCATGTTGTGTGAACAACTCTGCACGAGCACCTAAGGAGGCTTACCTCCCTAATAGCCCGTGGTGGCGCGTACGCATCTCTAGTGAGATGTACGAAGGGATTGACAACCTGAAATCCCTTTACGACCGTGCCGGGAAGACTTTCTCCGGCGGTCCTTCTGCGACACAGGATGTGCTGCGTCGTACTGCTCGACCAGACCCAGTACGTCGATCATCAGTTGGGAGCGGGGCTCCCAAGTATCCCAGGACGGGGGATAGCCGCGCCACCGGACGAGATAACTCGTCCGATGTCCGTTCACGTCGCGGTGGTTCAACAGCTGCTCAACTAGATAGCGCTGGCCACCGCGAGAGTCCTTTAATGGAGGTGGAGGAGGAGGAAAGACGCTCTCCACACGATCATGGGGATCCGAGTGTTCCCGAGAGCTTCTTTGATCGCGTAACGCAAGGGTTACGCAACGATCTCGAACATGAGCGGGACAGGCGTCTCCAAATGGGGGACACTGTCTCGAAGCGTCGAGCTGAGTTTGCCTTTGCTCAGCTTGAGAACGAGAGATCTCTGACATCTCTTCGTGACGAGCTAAGGGTAGCTCGTGGGATTGTTGATCGGTCTCGGGTTGAGATAGCTGCTCTTCAGACGCTTGTTGATGCCCACCATCGGGAGCACAAGGCTCTCTGCGAGATGCTTGAGCGCAAGGGCGTTCTTCATCGAAAGAAGCAGCGTACTGATGGTACGGCTTAAGCCGACCAACGTAAAACGTGGGATGCGTTCGCATCTTACGTGGCAACTCGATCGTGTATGCATTGACTAGGCGGTGCAATACACGAAATGGGCCGATGTACTTGGGCAGAAGTTTACTACTACCCAAGTTAGTCACTACATGCTTTGGTAGATTAACCGTAGACAGTAGGACTAAGTCACCTTTATTAAATAAAAGAGTGTTTGCCCTTCCATTCTTGTCAGCGTTTTGCTTTTGCTTATCCACCGCTTCGGCGATGGAATCTTGCACAAAACGGACTACCGTTTCACGAGCCAGTATGAACTCATCTGATGACTCGTTAGCTTCAGTGCGCTGTGAGCGCACTGCAGCGACATCAATCTTTTCTTCAGTGAGGGCTTCCTCGCTCTCACCGGCATCATCTTCTTCGATATCGATGTTGTCGATATCGGCATCAAACGCAATGACCTCTTCGTCAGAGCGTGATGAGCGTGAACCAAATCGGTTTTTGCTCGCGCGAGTCTCTCCCCCCCTTAAACCAGAGTTACACTCTAGTAAGGTGGGTACACGCGGATGGCGCAAGCCGTTCACGTAAAACGGTGTATGTGTCGTGGACGCATGCACCGAGTTGTTAATGGCAAACTCTACCATTGGCAAAAACTCACTCCAACTCTTAAAGGAGTGTACGTATCCTCGAACTATCTCTTCAAGGACACGATTGGCTCGTTCTGTCTGACCATCTGACTCTGGATGATCAGATGTCGGCATCTTCAAGCGCGTTCCGAGTGATTTGAACACGGAGCGCCAGAAATCAGCTGTGAAGCGTGGATATCTGTCTGATACGAGTTCACGGGGTAACCCATGAAGTCGAAAGATGGTGTCGATAACGACACAAGCACAGCCACTTGCCGTGATTGACTCTGGTACA